TGTTTTAATATCGTGAGGCTGGCGGGCAATACGTAACCGACCAACGCAGGTGGAATTGGGCTGTTATAAATGGTATCAAAGTCATCCATCGTGTTGTGTCAGCGATGATGTTGGACCCCAAGAGGGTGAATTATGAGATCCTACGTTGGTTGGAGAGGGGAACGAAACATTTCTTGTAAGGGTATCATACTACTCTCCACAGTGATATGATATTGTCCACTTTGAGCATAAGCTCTCGTGGCTTTGCTTTGGGCTTCCCCAAAAGGCCTCGTACCAATGGAGAGTGTATTCTTAGATTATAAACCCATGACCATTCCCTAAATTAACCAATGTGGGACACTTTTCATCCAACACCTCCCTTCGAACAAAGTACGCCTCCCCTTAATCGAGGCTTGACTCCTTTGGAGTCTTAGTCATTTTTCCTCTTCTTGACCATCAAGGGGGGTGGATTGTGAGATCTCAGTTGAAGAGGGGAACGAAACATTTCTTGTAAGGGTATGAAAACCTCTCCCTAACAAACCGTTTTAAAATCGTGAGATTGACATACGACGATATGTAATAGATCAAAATGGATAATATTTACTCCAAAAGGGGACGGAAAAGAGGGGCCAGAAAATTTGATTACAAACATCCCATCAAGGTGTCCACTCTGGTATAGATATTGGATTTATTTGTCCACTTTTAAACAAACTTTTGGATTATTTATCCTCAAAATCATCCCCTTTTTAATCCTTCAAAAAAAAAAAGTTTTTAAAAGAAAAATGTTTATTATTATTATTTTTGGAGTGGGCTTATCTTGTCTAGTCCTTTTGAATGATATTTATCAATTAATTACGGTATTGTTATTATTCTATTCTTTTTTTATTTAAATATCATACTTTTTATTCACTTTTTCTTTTTTTCGAATATACTTTTTTTAGGTTATTTTAGAATTTTAAAAATAAAATAATTATTACAAATGACTTAGTAATAAACAAAAGTGAATGTTTACACATAAGATGTGACGTGTGAGTTATAATCATTGAAATTAAAGAACGTCAAATTTCATAAAATTCATCTTGATTTTGATAATTTTTTTATCAGTAATTTAAAAATAGCTTAATTATAAAATTTAAACATCATGGTTAGTTAGTTTACGTTTATTAAGTTAAATTATTAAAATTATTAAAATAAATTAAATTTTGATTTAATTTTCATTCAATTATAAGTATATTATAAATAATATGACTTAAATGTTAGGTATTTTTAAAATTTATTTAGCAATAATATTAATAATTATTCTCAATAAAATTGAACCAATAGAATTAATTATAAATGTTATATTTCAAAAATCAAAACACGATATTAATTTGATAAATTAATAATAATAATAATAATAATAATAATAATTCTTATAAAACTACTACGATTATGCGAAATTAGCGCCTCAAGTATCGAGGGGTCCCACGTAAGGGGCACTTTCTGTAAATAAGTGAAAATAAGTGGTTTATTTGGTAATCCCCGACACTTTTATATATTTACTTTAACGGCCCCTTCAAAATTAGTAGACTGCAGCACCATATACTTGTGCTCGTGCTGCAACAAAAATCGTCGGCTACACCCTCCAATCCTCTCTCTGTCTCAACTGTTTTTCTCGACCACTGTGCCCGCCGGAAACTGACATTGTCAGCGGAGCAAGCGGTGTCGCCGACTATGCTCACGCAAATGCACCTCCTTCTCCCCCGCCGTGGCTTTGGCCTCATTGGGGCTATTTTCTTTGCCATGGCCGTCCTTGAGTGGTTCACGGCGGTGGCTCAGCTCCAACACCGTGTGCTGGATCTACATTGGCTTCCTGCTACCGCCACGTGGTACGGAAGCCCCGAGGGCGACGGTAGCGACGGTACGGCGGTTCCATTTCCCTACATATCTTTGCTCTGTTTTCTTCGTTTTAGTGTTCTTAGAGTCTGTCAAGATAATGGGACTGCTCTGTTTTTGTGAAATGCTGTCATTGAGCCAATTCGTTCGAATTAGCCAAAACCCAGTTCATAAATCGTTTAAATCTCAACTGGAATTCCGCTGTTCTTGAGTTCTTTGCTGATGAATTTTTAGGATCTGACAATGTGAAATTGCAGGTGGAGCATGTGGGTATGGAAATTTAGTGGATGTGAGGCCTCTAAAGGCCAGAGTTGGGGCTGTGAGTCCAATTCTGTTCAAAAACGGTGAAGGGTGTGGAGCATGTTACAAGGTGAAATGTCTAGACCAGAGGATTTGCTCTAGACGAGCCGTTACTGTAATCATCACCGACGAATGCCCCGGTGGGTATTGTTCTAATGGAAATACCCACTTCGATCTCAGCGGCGCCGCCTTTGGCCGTATGGCCATCGCCGGCGAAGGTGGGCAGCTCAGAAACAGAGGAGAAATCCCAGTAATTTACCGACGGTATAAATTCGTTGCTGCACTCTGTTTTTCGTCACTTCCATGATTTGTTTGTTTCTTTTATCTATTTTGTCGCTTATTTGTTGCTGTCGTAAATCTGTAGAACTCCCTGTAAGTATCGAGGCAAGAACATTGCCTTCCACGTCAATGAAGGCTCCACAGAATACTGGCTCTCTGTCTTGGTTGAATTCGAGGATGGGGATGGAGACATCGGTGCAATGCAAATAAAAGAAGTAAGTCTACAAACCCTTTAGCCAACTTAATTATCAAGCATATTCCATTCGCGCCCCGGGCGGAGAGGTCTCTTATAAAGAATGTTTAGCTCTTTTCTCGTAATGGATGTTTGTTAGTCGAAGGCTTGAACTGTTACAGAAAAGCTTGATCTTTTACCGAGATGGTACCTAATTACACGTAAAAAGTCTAATCCCACTCGAAGAATCTTTGAAAAAGAAGCATCTTTAAGAAGAAAAAGCATGAACTTTCCCACATGATTATAAAACTGTGGTTGACTAAAGATAGTGAAGCTTTGTTGACTAAGTTAACTTTGGTTTCCCACGTCGTGTTTGATAATGATAACAAAAATGGCAGGGGAACTCGAGGGAGTGGCTGGAAATGAAGCATTTATGGGGAGCAAACTGGTGCATAATTGGAGGGCCTTTAAAGGGTCCATTTTCAGTGAGATTAACGACATTATCTACGGGAAGAACAGTGGCAGCTAGGGATATAATTCCGAGGAATTGGTCTCCAAAGGCCACTTACACTTCCCGCCTTAATTTCTTCTCTTGATAAAGAAGGATAAGAGGAGGAGAAGGGAAGCAAAAGAAGCACTCTTTTGTTCTTTTTATGCACAAAAGCATTTGCTTCCTTTTTGTTTTATGCCGAAAGGAAGCTCCCTCTCCCCTAAACTCTTAGTTCATACCCCCATGGCAGGGAAAAGTAGCCGTTATCCGTTTTCTTTAGTGCAAAAGTGACCGTTGTGAGTGCGAAATGGCATCCAATGTTTGTGTGTTCTTGTTTTTTGTTATTGTGTGGTTGGGTATTGAGCATGATAGCCCTCTCCAAAGAGGAGAGAGAGCGTGGTGTAATTTGTTGCTATATTATCAAGCTTGTTTGTTTAATGAACTTGAACTCGAGTCAAACTATTCTTGTCTAAATAAGGGTATAGTGCGAGATTTCAGGACCTTGGAAGTAGTGTTCCTTTCATAACTTATGCAATCACAACACTCCCATTTCACAATATATTGAAGAGAGATATTTTGTTCGAGAATATGTATTGTGTGAGATCTCATATCAGTTGAAGTAGGGAACGAAACATTAGCAATTTTAAAAATTTTGAGGGGAAGCCCGAAAGAGAAATTCCAAAAAAGACAATATCTACGAACATAGACTTGAGCTGTTACATCTTAACTAATCGCATATGAACGGACTATGCTCAAGTTGGTGAGGTTAAATTTCCAAATTGAATTCGACTTAAATGTGAAAGCTATTCATTTCCAGACTCCACATGATTTGAATGCAAGTGGTTCATTATAGCCTTTCCAAACTTGGCATGGGAACAAAGATTTTCCGCCAATACGCTCGCCCTCATTCAAAATAGAATTCTCTGCTAGTTGGTGCAGTGTGAGGCAGACTGACGCACATATAACAAACGAACACCCCAGACATTGCTTTTGCTCAAAGGGCACTGTGCATTATGGCCTACACTACATGTTCTCAATGATGTAACATATTAATCCCTTTTTTTGGTGCTGATTGATCTTCTTCTCCTTATGAACAGCTAGTTGTTGGGTTGGTATTGTGTTACATCTCAGACAATTCTTTAACTCGGTGGGTTGATACCTACAATACCTTAATATTGTAACCTTGCAAACTCTACGAGTTTAATTAATATGGACTTGCTCACTCTTATATGAAATTATGAGATCCCATATTAATTGGAGAGAAGAATAAGTGTTAACAAGGATGCTAGGCCACACGAAAGGGGTGAATTGTTAGAGGGAGGAGAATGAAACATTCTTTATAAAGGCATGGAAAACTTTCCCTGACAGACCACATCTTAAAAACTTTGAGGAAAAATCCAAAAGGAAAAGTCCAAGGAGATAAGCTTGAGCGGTTATAGATACCCTATTGGTAGACCATAGATTGTTGTGATAATATAACTAGAAATGCTTTGGACTCTAATCCCATCTAAGTTCTATGTGTTACTTCTGAACCAACTACTACTTGACCAGCCAGACCAAGTGTGTTTCTTAACTTATTTTCTGTCCCCAAAAAGGTAAACCTGAGTTGGTCGAACTTCCCATAAACATTTAAAGAAGATGTTAAAGCAAGGGGATGAATAGACGGTCGGGTAAAGGAGGCGCCTATCCTATCCCACTCGGGTCATATCCCATGGTAATTGGTTCTGTCATCATTGCTACCTGTGAATGTTCCCTAGTACAATTATTGGCTGCTCTACTACAACTTTGCGAGTCTGAATATTAACTTCTTCTATCCTCAGATAGCAAAGGAGAATATAGGAGAAGCTTACCGTTCTTGTCTTTGTAAAAAGAGGACTAATGTGTTTTTAAGATGAGACAAGGGGAAGTCAAAGAGAAGATAAAATTCAATGATAAATTATCCTAAATTCTAAGTCTAGACAAGAAGGGAGCTGTTAAATCCCACGCTGCAGAGCATGCAGCAAGGCTACGACAAAAGCTTCCTTATTCCCTCTGATAAATTGTGGACAGGAAAAAAAAACGATTCAATTACAAGAACCATGAGATGTTTTGATAATTTCTTACTCTGCAGGTGACACCAACAGAATAGGTTGTTCAGCATCAGCTGCAGTAGGAGCCTCGATCTCTATTTTCGGTTGCTCGGGAGTACCATTAGCATCCACATCTTTTGCAGGAGATCTAGGTGAATGAGCTGCAGCTGGTGAAGAAGATTTCTTGTCCTCAACTTTCTTCCCTCCTTCCTTAGCATCTTTGGTTTCAGTCCCTTCCTTAGCATCTTTGGTTTCTGTCCCTTCCTTTGCTTCTTTTCCACCTTTGTCCTCCTCCTTCCCTTCCTTCTTATCTTTACCATCCTTTCCATCCTTACCGTCCTTGCCATCCTTGCCGTCCTTGCCATCCTTGCCGTCCTTGCCATCTTTGCTGTCTTTGCCATCCTTTCCGTCTTTGGCGTCTTTGTCATCCGGTTTGGGCGGAGGAGGCATCATATGAGGTGGAGGAGTCTGTTTCAACTTCAAGAGAATCTGCCTCATTCGTGCCAGATCAGTTGGTTTTCCAGGTTTTGGACCCTGAACGATCACAATTGAAGGTTTATTTTCAGCATCTTTCTTTCCTCTTCTCTTCTCAATATTAGGGACCTCTCGTGGGATGATCTCTGCAATTGCTTTCCAGAAATGTTTGTCAGCTTCTTTGTGGAATTTTTCCTGGTTTGTATGGTAAAGCTGCAAAAAAATTGGAACATGAATAACAACAGACAGGAAGAGACCTTGACAGGATGCAGGGTAAAAAAAATATGAGTAGATAAAAAATTCTTTCAAAGGTTTCACCTTCTCTCTTTCTCTATTGTGAGCCTTGTTTGTTTCACAATTGATCCTCCTTTTCTCATAAAACGAAGCTTTATACTCTTCAGCTTCATTAATTATTTGATTTCTCATCTCCTTTTCTTTCTTCTCTTTCTCCGCAAGGTCTATGGCATTTTGACTGCACCATAAAATTTTCGCCACTATCAAACAAAAGCTAACCAACAGATTCAAATTCATGGGAAATATAGTTTCTCTGCTAATACTATCCTCTTTGGACTTTCCTTTTCGGGCGTCTCCTTAATGTTTTAAAACGTGTCCACTAGAGAGAGGTTTCCACATCAAGACTTCGTTCCCCTCTCCAACCAATATAGAGTCTCACAATCCACCTCCTTAGGGCCCAACATCCTCGCTGGCACACCATCCAATGCCTGGCTCTGATACCATTTGTAACAGCCCAAGCCCACCACCAGCAGATGTTGTCTTCTTTGGGCTTTCCGTTTTGGACGTCCACTTAAGGTTTTAAAATGCGTCCACTAGGGAGAGGTTTCCACATCCTTATAAGGAATGCTTCGTTTCCCTTTTCAACCAATGTGGGATCTCCCATAAATATGGTTCCCAATAAATTACCCTTCCACCTAAGTTGACTAAGATTTTGCAACAAGGCAGAACATTCAAACGAAATTATCACAGCGCTAAACTTTACAATTAGCCAGGATCCAAAAAGAAATTCCTAAACAAATAGAACCTGGGAAGTCATTACTACCCTGCAACTTGAGAGTTGAAACTACTGTTGCCCATGAAGGCAGCTCACAAAAAGGATACATAATAGAGATAAGAATTTTTGGCAGCATCAAACTTCACAACCAATCAGGTAATAGCTTCTTCAAGCAGACAGAAATAAGCATATCCCTTTTGCCTGTCCATATTGCTATAAGATATAAAATGCTGTACTACAATTTCATCTAGTTGGTCCTACTAATATGTTATACGTTTATGCCTACACGTGATGTTAGGACAAATGTGCAGCAAATATCTGTCTTTTTACCAGCAACAGAACAACATTATTTGGACATATTGCAACACATGACAAACTATTCAAAGTTCCAGAAGCAAATGAGAATCCAAAATTTTCACCAGTAGCGGATGCAATAATGTCAATAGCGAAAAATCACTATAAACACAAGCCAGATGGTAAATGATTATAAAAACTACGAAACCCCTTTATCAATTATCAATGATAAGACCATGCTTGCGGTGCATTAATACAGAGCTCAACGATTGGAAGCATGGGAGTGGCAGAATGAAATTTAGCAACAAAGAAGGTTTGAACCACCGTTTGCGCTAACAACTAAGGACATTGAGTAAATTTTTAATGTCATTATGCGGCGAACAGAAAATCTCTAGACCTTTCAATTCAGATTCCAGCGGAAAACTGAATCCATCGGCTCCAATGACCTCAAAATTGATAAAAGGGCTTGTTTTAGATTCATGTCACGGCTATAGGGGGAAACATTTCAATCCGGCACCAAAATGATAAAATCACAGATCTAAAACTAAACCAATCTCTCTGGAAGAAATGACATTAACAAGAAAAGAAAACGCACCGTCGCCATTCGCGTCGTGCATGGCATTCCTCCCGCATTTCGCTCGGGTCCGGGAGAACCGGTCCATCGGAGGCAAAAAAACCATCATCAATGACACCAATACCGGCGGCAGCATTGCCATTATCAACATCAGTCTCAACCGGATCAAAGGGAGAAACATAGCCCGGATTAGGATTGGAAACCCCGAAGTCATAAACGTCAGACAAATTGGGGTTATTCGTGTTTCCAGCGCTGTGGATGTCGGAAATGACATCGTCTTCGAAAAAGGAAGGAGGAGGATGAGGGTGTTGGTCGGTGCTGGGAGAGAAAGTGGCTAAAGAGTCGAAGCTCTGGGAGGGGTGATGAGTGTCGTAACCGATGTAGCCATCGTCGTCAAAGGGCCGCGATGTGGGCGACTGTTGCTGTTGTTCTTGGTGTTCGTCGTTGCTGAAAGTATCATAGGAAGCCATTATCGTGAATTCTCTTCCTCTGGATCTCCGGGAGCGGATTGATTTCTGAGATTGTTGAGGTTAGGGAGAAGGAGAAGGGAGTTGTTCTTGCGGTGATGAACGCAGTGTTCGGATCAAGAAAGAGTAATCAGGAAAATCACATAATAAAGAGAGATATTAGTTGGACGTGATCTCAGTTCCATTAAAAATAAATAAATAAATTAAATTATATATATATACCTATCACCTTTACCATATGTTTAAAAATTAGCTAAATTCTTAATTTAAAAAGTTTCAATAACTCAATTTTAAAAAAATTTATTAATATCCTTCGACTTAAAAAAAAAATTAAAATATAATTACTACAGTACTATATTTAAAAAAAATTATTAATATCGTTGGAACTTTTAAAAAAATTTAAAAATATAATTACCTACCATACTATATTTAAAAAAATACCTAGGAAATTTTAAAAATAATATTAACGCTATTTATCTTGATAAAAAATTCAAAAAAAAAAAAAACCTTACCTTTCAGTATATAGATGAAAAACTATTTATTGACAACATCCAATATTACTTTTAAACATTTGTGAATATTTTTGAAAATTTATACGAAAATTTATATGTTGGGTGATTTTCTACCCTCTAATTGATAATATAAATTTTGAGGAGTTGAATTATGGTGAAGTTTTTAATTTTAATTTAATTTATAAATAACAAATTATTATTTTAAAAAGTAATTACACAAACAAATTGTGAAAGATGCTGTAGTTTTAATGATGTGATAAACTCACCTACACATTGAAATTGTGTGTTTGAAAGACGTGATTTGTAAGCATAAATTAATTTCACATTTAAGTTTAATTATTTTTTAAAAGCAAATATTTTAATATTTTCCCCATCAAATTCATTGTCTAAGTCACGGTGCCCAATAATTTATGTTATATAATGACCATAGCTCTTGATTTTTAAGTGTTTTTTTGTTGCATCGAGTAAATAAACTTTCACACCAAATCATAAAAAGTGACCCATTACTTTTAGACTTCAAGCTTCAATCACATGCTTCTAAACATTAATTGATTTGTTTTTTTCCCGTAAATTATATATTCTAAATTTGTAACAACTCCAGCCCACCGTTAGTCGATGGACTTATTCTTCCAAGCTATCGTTCGTGTATGATAGGGATAGATTTTCATGCCCTTGTAAGAAATCGTTATTCATAAAGGTAGAGGAAAACGAAACATTTCTTATAAGGGTGTGAAAATCTTTCTGCGATAGACCGTTTTAAAGCTGTGACGTTGACGGCGATACATAGCTTGTTATGCATGAACTGTTAGACTAAAGTGAATGTGGCTCAATTATAAGAACTCCAAAATTAAGCATGTTTTGCATGAAGTAATTTTATGTTGAGTAATTTTCGAGTAATTTTATGTTGGGCAATCTCCGAAAGATTTTACTAAGAAGCATGTGAATGAGTATACAAAGCATGTTGAAAAAAACTTATGCTAGTTTGTGGAGATAATCTCCGCTCTTAAACACGAGTAGTAAATAACATGACTATGTCGCAGGGGATGCAGGGATCAGTTGGGACACACAGGTGCCGAATTCGAATTCTAAATCTTTATCTAAATCACGAGTATACATGGAGTATTACAACGATACGAAGTTCATGCGCTATACACGAGCCTACACGTGTGCAAGGAGACTTCCATGCACAAATTCATGTGCACTGAAGGTCGATATTCGCATCCGTGGCACACTCAATCTATGTAATGATATTCAATGAATTATTTTTTAAAAATTTACTCGGATAGTAAGTAGAGATCAAGGAAAGAACCTTTCTCATACAGCCAAATCTCCATCTGTTCTTCCCTGAAAAAAGCAATATTAGAGATGAGTTGTGGTGATCCTTGTGAGAGAGGCGCAGCTAGCCATGGTGGTGTGCAGGGGCCACTCAAGTTTCAAGCGTTTGCATGGTCGAGAAAGGAATGATATTAGCTCATTTTTGTTCATTCTTATCAACAAGTTGCTCCACATCTCCAAGTTCCACTTCAGTTTCTCTCCAACCAATATCGTTCTGAAACAATGATTCTATTTGTTCCAAAGATTTCCCCTTGGTTTCTGGAACGAACTTGTAAACAAAGGCAACTGACAGAGCAGATATGAAGGAGAAGATGAAGAATGTTCCACCAACAGTGATTGCTCGAGAAACTGACAAGAAAGACATGGCCACAATCCCACTAGAAACCCTGTTGCCCACTGCTCCAAGAGCGGCTGCTTGGGCTCGCAGCTTCAATGGGAAGATTTCAGACGTCAAAACCCAACACACAGGGCCAATCCCCACTGAAAAGAAGGCCACATTCCCACAAACCCAAAAAATGGCTAAGCCAACGCCAACTTTCCCATTTCCAAGGAAAGTGAGCGTAAAGCCCAAGCAGAACAAGCAAACAGTCATTCCAATTGTGCTCAGATACAGCAATGGCTTTCTACCTAGCTTGTCAATAAGAACAATGGCAACCACTATGAAACCTGTCTTTGCAAGTCCGACTGCCACGGTTGCTGCAAGCAGCTTGGAGTTACCATGGATTCCAGCTTCTTTGAAGATTTCGGGGCTGTAATATACGGTTGCGTCGATGCCGGTGATCTGTTGGAAACATTGGATTCCAAAGCCAGTGATCAGCATTCGTTTAAGTGCAGGAGAAGGGTTCAAGAACTCTCTCCAAACAGCCTTTTCTTCATACTTTTCAGCACTGGAAATTCCAGCAGCTAGTTGGATTTCTGCCAATCTTTCTTCCACCTCCTTCTCATTGTCCATGGTTTTCAGAAGCACGGATCTCGCATCGTCGACTCGATTTTTCAGCACCAACCATCTGGGAGACTCAGGGATGATGAAGAGTGCAAATCCAATGAAGATTGAGGGAAGAATGCCCACAGCAAGCATGATTCTCCAGTTTGTGTGGGCAGGTAGACCAGAGAAAGCAAAATTGGAGACATAGCCAAGTAAAATGCCAAGGTTTATGAAGATCTCAGGGAAGGAAGTGAGTGAGCCTCTAGCAATGGTGGGGGAAATCTCTGCAATGTAAACAGGAGCAATCATAACGCCCAACCCAATTCCAACTCCAGCCAATATTCTGCCGATCAGCAACACTTGAAAGGTAGGTGCCAGTGTCATAATTGCTGCACCAATTTGGAAGACGAGAGCAGCCAAGGCCATTGTCCATTTTCTTCCAATGGCATCAGATGTTTTACCACCGGCTAAGCTTCCCAGAAGGGAAAGAATGCTCAAAATCCCAACAAGAACTTCTTCCTGTACCTCAGTTATCTTTAGATCTTCCTGAATGAAGATAATCGCCCCACTCATCACGCCCACGTCTGGATATCCAAACAAGATGTAAAGACATATGAAATTTAACCAATCTAGAATTTCAACTTCCAGTAAGCAAATAGAAAAGTCAATCTAAACAAGTATCTCACCGAAATGGCAATGAATCAGAACAAGAAGTTTATGATTCGAGGTATTTTGAACAAATCTAAACAAGTATCTCACTGAATCGACGCTATTATGTCTCAATCCAAGCAGCAAAAATCATGAAACTAATCGGAAAAATCGCGCACAAAGCTATTCAAAAGCCGAGAACGATTGGAGCGACCGACAGAAGAAGAAAACATACCGTATCCGAGAAGAACAGAGTTGAGAGAAGCGAAAACAGCACAGGCATATACATATTTCCTCGCACTGGAACTCGCATCGCCTTGATGATGATGGTCATCGAGATCCTCATTGAGCTCAGAATCCATTCTCTTGTACTTGTTCTTCGCGCCCAATGAAACGCCGGGGAATCCCAAATCTCCGGCCCCATTTTCTTGGACTCCGACCAATCCCATGAGTATGCGATCGGATCGGAAGCCGGCAGGGGATTTTAGATCTGAAAGAAAGGAGACAAGATTGAAAGAAACTCGATAATTGGGTCGTCAGAATTTCTTAATCTGCAAATTGGTTGCTTAGTGCAGTATTCAATGGCATTGACCTTGGACTAATCCAAAGAACAGCTGCTGTAATTAGACTAATTAAACTGTTTCCTTTCCTTTTTTGTTCTTTTATTTCTTGTCTCAAAAAAAAAAAAAAAAAAAAAAAAAAAAAAAAAAAAAAAAAAAAAAAAAAAAAA